ATCTCAGGGTACTTAGGTCATCCTTGCTCCCTTTCTCTCCATTCCATCACTGATGGCAGTTAAAATGTTCAATCTGGGTATGAACCCCCACAGATGTTCTCTTGGTGACTTTGGGCCAGTTGCATATTCTCAGCCAAACCTATTTCACAGACTGTTTTGGGGAGGATAACAGAAGTGGGGATACTGTATGCCACTTTGGGTCCCCACCAGGAGAAAACCAAGGTAAAAATATCTAAATAAATCAAATCGAACAGAATTGCCTTCTGCTCATATAAGCATAAATTTGGATTCAAGAAATCCAAAAAGATTTGGAAAAATGGAAAAACCTGCAAATATCTTTGATGGGCAGAATAGCCACAATAAAGATGAACATTTTACCAAGATTGATATTTTCATTTCAAACAATTCCAGTTTTCCAAAACCAGCAATACTTCAAAGATCTTGACACAATGATGACAAATTCATATGGTAGAACAAGAAGCCAAGAATAAAAATAAAGGCCTTACAAGATGCAAAAGAAAGAGCTGGATTTGGCTTATCTGACTGGCTCCTATATTACAGAGCAAGAACTCTGATCTGGCTAAAAGAATGGATTACACTAGAAAATACCAGATTATTAATTTTAGAAGGACATAAACTATTATTGGGTTGGCACGCATTCTTGTAGTATGGAAAATCAGATGGACATAAATATTTTAAGCCGCATATTATTAGGAAAACTTTATTGAAAGTATGGGAAAATGTAAAAAAAGAATATTTTACACCAAGACGCCCAAAAGGGTTTCACCAGTCGAAGCTTTCACAAACACTAATTTACTTCAAAAAATATGTTGCTGAGATATGAAGACCTCCTGGATAATAAAAATGAACTAAAATCAACAGAAAAACTTAAAGAACAGGAAATCAATCTAAGTTGGTGGGATAGAGTACAAACAGAGTCTAGATTTGCTAAAGATAAACCGGGGGGTCGTTATACAAATATAATGGAAATGGATAAGGTACTATTGCATGCCGATGACAAACTGATTAAAAATATATATATAATAATGTTAGAAGATAAAACACAAGATGAAATAGTTAAAATTGTATGGTTAAGTGGGCACAAAGTTTGGGCCACAATATTGACCTAGATCAATGGTTACGTGTATGGAAAACAAACATAAAGATTACAAAAGCAACTGCATATAAAGAAAATATTTATAAAATGTTTTATAGATGGTATATTACTCAGGGCTTTTTTTGTAGAAAAAGCCCAGCAGGAACTCATTAGCATAACAGGCCACACCCAACAGCAGAAACTCATTAGCATAGTAGGCCACACCCCTGACAACACAGCACATTAGCATATTAGGCCACACCCCCATGCCACCAGAAGTGTGGTCATCCAGCCACGCCCACCTTTTGCTTCTTATTCTGTTTACCTTGTTTGTTGTCAAAACCCAGGGCTTTTTTGTAGCAGGAACTCCTTTGCATGTTAGGCCACATACCCCTAATGTAGCCAATCCTAATGAGTTTCTGCTTTTGGGTGTGGCCTATTATGCTAATGAGTTCCTGCTGGGCGTGGCCAACTCAGGAGCCAGCCGGAACTCCGTTTCTGTGTGTTCCTGCCCAAAAATAACCCATAAACTAGCTAAATTTTACTCTAACCTACCTAATGATTGTTGGAAGTGTAAAGAAATGTTGGTACTTTTTTCATATGTGGTGGACTTGTGATAAAGTTAAAAAGTATTGGTCTTGGATACATGAATTGTTACAAAAAGTGTTTTAAAATACTGTACCTTATACACCAGAATTTTTTAATTGAATACCAGAGAATTGTTTTTTAAAAAAAGACTTTTATCTTATTATACATGTAGTAACAGCAGCAAGAATATTATATGTAGAGTACTGGAGGAGAAATGAAATTCCCTCAGAGGAAGAAATTATAACTAAAATATTGGAAACAGCAGAGATGGACAACTTCACCTCAATCCTGAGAGGACACAACAAAGAAGATTTTGAAGATACATGGTCAAGATCTTATAAGTGGACTGAAGAGTACAAGACATAAAACCTTCGGACACCTAAATTAATTAAAAGGAAATGAAAGCTATATACTTAATTATAAGCAAAAGGTATACAAATAAACTATAAGGTAGGGGGAAAAAGTAATGATTATATTCGGATATTGTATGAGATCATCAACTAGATCAAAACGATGTAAAGAGAATTCCCTGTATGTGTATTTTTGTGTGCTTGTTTTTGTTTGTCTGAAAATAAAAATGTTCTTAAAAAAAAAGTTGGATTCAGCCTACAGTCCCAATCCCATCTTCCTATAGCACTGTTGTGGACAAAATGAAGTAAGCCTCAAGACAAAATTATATTGGAACCAAAGGTAATTGTAAGGAGAACTGCCAGGGCAGGGTACAAAATGCACACCAGAGGTCACCAGTTTGGTGTAGTGGTTAAGTGCGCAGACTCTAATCTGGGAGAACCGGGTTTGATTCCCCACTCCTCCACTTGCACCTGCTGATGTGACCTTGGGTCAGTCACAAGCTCTGGCACAGCTGTTCTTGAAAAAGATCAGTTTGTGTGAGAATTCTCTCAGCCCCACCCACCTCACAGGGTGTCTGTTGTGGGGAGGGGAAGGGAAAGGAGTTTGTAAGCCACTCTGAGACTCCCTTGGGTAGTGAAGGGCAGGGTATAAATCCAATCTCTTCTTCTTCTATTAGCAGATTAATATTAAATTATTTTGTATTTTCTTTTCAAAAGGGAATCAGTAGGTATATTCTTGGAAGCACTGATGAAAAATTTGGATTCAGCCCACAGTCCCAATCCCATCTTCCTATAGCACTGTTGTGGACAAAATGGAGTAAGCCTCAAGACAAAGGGCGATTTCTCACTAGAGCTGCCTCGCAGCGCAGCGCCATTTGCCCCAACAAAAACCCGGATCACGAAACTGTGGAGGAAATCGGGCGAAGCCCCGAGTCAAAATGCAGCCCCGGAGTTTCGGGTGTGAAATTGACATGTTTGTGTCGGGGCAAACGGCGCTGTGCTGTGAGGCAGCTCTAGTGAGAAATCACCCAAAATTATATTGGAACCAAAGGTAATTGTAAGGAGAAGTGCCAGGGCAGGGTACAAAATGCACACCAGAGGTCATGTAATATATTAGCAGATTAATATTAAATTATTTTGTATTTTCTTTTCAAAATGGAATCAGTAGATGTATTCTGGGAAGCACTGATGAAAGCCAGGTATCCGTTTGCATTGCCCTTTTGCAGCTTCTTGTTGCATGATGCAGCCCCACATCACCGTCAGCCACTGAACACAGCTAGTGAGGAAGGAAAAACCCAGAGATGCTGCTGATTGAAGAGATAAAGGACTTTTCAGCACGATGGTTTTGAGACAGAGCTCCGTCTCAGCAGTACTTTCAGAAGGTGTACCGAGCAGAACTTGTCATTTCAGCAGCAGCATTTGTAAAGGCTGCAGCCTTTATGTTACCTTATCCCAGATGTTGCCAATCATTCCACATACTGGGGCAAGGTCCAGAAATAGCTCCTGTGGTATACTTTTAATATCACTTTTCTCCCAAAAGTTTGTTTCTAAAAGGTGTGCTTCAGGTTCTGGGGAGCAGAAAAGTAAGAACTTGTTGTGGGCACTAAAGTAGCAAATTGTGAGATTGGCTGTAAAACTGGAACTCCTACAATAGAATTTTGAAAGACTATGACTGATACAAAAATGGCAATCCAATGGAACAAAGGACTGAAGAAGGTTCCCTGCAAGTGGTCAGGCAGACCTCTGAGGATATCAGAATTCATTGAGTCCTACGTAACATATTAAGGTAACCTCTCCAATTAGCAGAGAGGTAAACTGATCTCTGGCCCTAAATATGGGGCTTGGGTTTTCGTTTTGTTTTTAGTTCCTGAACCATTAGCAAACAATGGCAATCACATATTCAGTCTTTTCTTGAAAAACACAAGAACTAGAAACTTGACTTTTCCCTGGAAAATAAATATAGACTTTCACTATTCAAAGGAATACTTTCTTTAGAGCTCTGGAGGAGTTATCCCATAAACCATTGCAAGCTTTGTAAAGGAACTTGCAGAAGTTAGTACTTTAAAGGGAAAACGACGGACACATGCAGCTAGATAGTTCCTGTCCTTTCAGGTGGTTTGGAATCAAGGTTCTGTGGCCAGCCAATCTGAGAGATTTCTTCCCTGGGAGCATAATACAAACATCCTAATGACCACAAGATCATGGGGTAAACCCGCATAGGGCTGTTGAGGGGGATTCCTGGTGGTGACAAATGCATGTGATAAGTCTTCTAAATGAACCATGTTACATGAAAATATAAATGTCCCTGTGATGCTTGCATTATATAGATTCAGCCTAACAGTACAATCATATCTAAAGTAAGCCCCAGTGAATACAGTGTGATTTCATGTTGAGTAAAGATACAAAGGATCATGCTGTAAGGATACAATCCTATACATAACATACTTGGGAATCAACTCAGTGAGACTTATTGCTAAGTAACCATGCGTAGATTCAAACTGCATATGTTTCTTGGGTATTTAAGATAGAAAGTGACATGAAAAAAAGCACAAATTTTACAAAATATTAATGAGATTGTATTTGTTATTAATAGTTTTAGTACAATCTGATCTTCTCGATCCTATATGATTAGGTAGTTCCAACCACAATCTAATGCACACTTACATGTGAGTAAGTAATGGATTTCAGGAAGATTTCTCAGTAAAGTTGCAGAGAAATCAGGCTATAAGGTTTAGCTGAACTCCACACGAAATAAGGACACATGTTAAAGTATTTTTCCCTGATCATAGAAATGTGACCTTATAAAGAGTTAACACTACAGAGCTGCCTTGCATCATGCGTACACTATAGAAAAACCAACATCTACAAAAACGTATGATGCAATTTTATACAATGCATTGCCTGCTGAGAAGTTATCAACTAACCAGGGTTACTGGTAACCCAACATTCAAATATCAATTTCTCACCTGAAAGGTTCCTGCGTGGTCTTCTTCTTTGTCTCCCTCTTTGCCCTCTTTTAAAGCAATTAGGGTGAATCCACGAAAGTAGGCTGGAGTGGCAGCAGAAAGAGTGACTGGGGAGAGAAAGGCAGAAAAATATGAACTTCAGTGTGAACTGCTGACAAGTGTTTTGCTTCTTTTGCTTACTGAGCTAACCTTTTGTTAATTAAAATAAAGTCAATTGTATATTTAGCAGAGAAAAAGGCCTATTTTGGTGCTTGGGATTGTGGTGCAAAACTGTGCTCCAATCAATGTTCCCTCTGAGTTGTGCATGTGAGCAGCCGCTCATTAACAAAGGAAGCCCTGCTCAACAGCAATCTGGAGCCGCGCAGGGTCTTGTACTGCCCATTGCCCATTTTAAGATTACAGCAGTTATATTCTGGTAAGGATGTGAACTGCTCCACTCAGGGGGGTGGGAATTAGAGGGGACATTGGTTCCAATATAGCAGAGTTTGGAATATCTGCAGAGACAGGCTAGGTACTAACAATTATCTGCATTAATGACTGGAAACAATGAAAAACCATTGCTCTTGATCATATGGAGGCAACTGTACATGCATAGCTGCTTTTGGCACTGTCTCTATGTCTGTCTTTGTCCCTGTTTCTCTCTCTGTGTTCCTGTGTGTGTATGTCTCTGTCCCTCTGTCTGTCTGTCTCTGTACCTCTGTGTGTGTGTCTCTGTGTGTGTGTCTCTGTGTGTGTCTCTCTGCCCGTTTCTCTCTGTGTGTGTCTCTCTCTTGTTGGAAATATGTGTATGTTGCAAGGTCTAATTCAGTCATTATAGGGTTAATCTGTTTACCTTGTGTGCTATTGTTTAGACTGACCTGGAAGGGAAACCTGGCTCAGAGCCAATGAAAACAAAGCCCACAAAATCTAAGTGTGTTTATTCACAATAATTGGTTAATGTATGGTAATGTAATGAAGGTGATTTCCTTCTAGGGGTCAAGAAGAAGAAGAATCTCCATTAGTGTTGTTGTTGTGAGACCATGTAATCGGTCTTGTTCTGTGGTTGTAGAGCTGTAGCCTTAGGTTTGTTATTTTGTAGCTTTTCCTGTGTACCCTTCCCTTAGAAATAAAGATTTTTACACAGAAAGAAATGCCTCCTCTTCAGTGAAGCAAAGATCCATTGCAAACTCTGAATATCTAAGTCTCTCTCTGTGTTCCTCTCTCTCTCTCTGCGCCCCTTCCTCTCTCTGTCCCTCTCTGTGTGTTTCTCTCTCTCTCTGCCCCTCTCCCCTCCGTCCCTCTGTTCCTATGTGTGTGTGTCTCTCTCTATCTTTGTCTTTCTCTCTCTGTCTTTCTTAGCTGTCAAGGTCAGTATTGTTTCCAGGGTTTCATTGAAACTTTGCTGGTCTTAAAGGTGCCACTGGACTCAAACTTCGTTAGGCAGCCAGTATTATTTTCTCCTTCTGCCTTCCTGTGGTGTGAAATATTTGGACTTGATGGTGAAATGTAGACCTTTTTGTGTGGATTTAAGTGACTTTCTGTGGCTGGGGCCATGTGGTTGGAGTCTCAAGATGAGGCTGAATGAGGGCAATATGACTTAAGGTTCCAGGGAGGTGCAAAGTGCACAGCCCCAACGGTTTTGTCAGGCATTTTTTCTTACACAACAACAAAATTGTTGGTGGAAAGTGCCATCAAGTCACAGTTGACTGAGGGCAACCTCATAGTGATGTTCAGAGGTGGTTTGCCATTGCCTGCCTCTGTGTCACAACCCTGGGCTTCCTTGGTGGTCTCCCACCCAAGTACTAACCAGGGTTGACCCTGCTTAGCTTCAGAGGGTCTGACAAGATCGGGCTAGCCAGGGCCATCCAGGCCAGGGCAACAGCAGAATGCTGGCACATTAAAGTATCACTTAATTGGATGATCACTGCATTTCAAAGGGGGTCAGGTTAACGATGTCTTCAATGGGTCCTTTGTGTAAGTATCTAACAGTGCCATCCTAAGCATGTCTAGTCCCCTCCAAGTATCTAACAGTGCCGTCCTAAGCAGGTCTAGTCCCCATCTCCTCCATTGTTTTCTATGGTGGGGGAAAGTAACTTTTTTCCCCACCATAGAGAACAATAAAGGGGATGGGGCAACCTGTTTCGGGGCCTGTAGAATTGGACCCCCTGGTCCAAAGTTTTAGAAACATGGTGTATATCTTGGGGAGAGGCTCCAGCAGCTACCCTGCAAGTTTGGAGCCTCTCTCTCAAACCCCCTCTTCTCCAGCCCCCAGAATATACCCTATGTTTTCGCCATTGACTTCAATGGCCCATAGGATACAATGGGGCCGAAATTGACATTTGGCTGGCCTGGGCTGGTACTGCCGAAATTGACATGCGGGAGTCTTTCTTCCGGTTGAAATTGATTCTGCCCAATTGGGCCGAATCCAAATCAAGTCGCATTTTTTTTCCACAGACCTAGTCCTGGGTATCTTAAGTCTACTTAAAACCTGGTGGTTTGAAGGGAGCAGAAAGAGAAATGAGGATGTGTTCTTTAAGCCTGTTCTTATTGCACAAAGTACTGAAACACACTGTTGAATAGCTTTCAATTTCTGCTTCCTCCTGGGAAATCTTGGCGTCCCTTGAAAGCTTAGGAAGGGTTCCTTAGTGAGAAGAATAACAGGCAGAGTGCCATGGAAGGTGGCTTGTCCATGCTAGCTGAGGTATCTCTACCATTTCACAAAGTATTGCAATGTATCCCAGCAATATCTGTTTTTACCACTTTGTTTTTCTGTTTTTACCAACTGAGGACTTTGGGGGTTGAGCCAGAAGACTCTGGAGGTGGCGTCTCACAAGGATCACTTTATGATGTCAAGTCCTGTGATGTCACTTCCAGGTCAAAGGTCAGGTGATAGCACTTCCTAAACACCCCTTCCAATGACATCATATTCTGTACCAAAACCCACCCCTTCCTGTGATGTCACTTTTGGGCTGCTCCCCCAACCCTGCCTCTTCCTCCAAAGTTAGCTTGCGGTTTTCGAGCATCTGATATTTAGTCTATGTGGCTCTTACATGAAGCAAGTTTGGCCACCCCTGAACTATAGTATCCCTTTCTTGTTTCAGTGACTGTTAGTGTGTGTTTACATGTCAATCATTCCATCAATGCATACTATAAAGCATGTGAGTACATAACAAAATCCTTGTTTCCTTAATAAAGCACCCTTTCACTTCACAAACTTAATTTTTTCTAGAGTCAGCTCTCAAGAGATTTCAAAATGGCTCTGGTTTTTAAAAAAATCTGGCAAATTCATGGAACATGAAGTGGCAAAGCAGGAATACATATTAGATTGCCTAAATAGGAACGATGACTTCTTGTCCCATTTCAAAGACTAAGTGAATAATTTATCCTCATGTACTTCTGGCGCGCCCATGTAATTTGCAAAATAAAGTTGCTTTCTTCTTAAGAATTATTGGGAGTAAACATTCTGTTAACAGGCTCATAACTGCTGGCTGCCAGCAGTTCTGGCAGCTGAAGAAGTAGGCCACCACCTACAAACAATTGTACCTTATTAAAATTAGTCTCGCAAATGGTGCTGTTTAACTCAGATTTGAAAATAACTGTAACTGAAGACTAACACGGCTGTCCCAAATTTATGGAAAGAAAATGTGCCTTGTGGTGGGAAGCTGGCTCCAGTTTTAGTGAAGAAGTTACTGGTATTTCAGTGTTCTACCACTTTGTTCTCAGAAAATGGAGAAGAGCTGAAAAAATTGGTGGTGTAGGAGAGGCGTGCATAAAAACTGTTTTAGTCTTATTATATTTCACTCGTTTTCTCTTTATTCATTTTTATTATTAAACAAGTGACACCATGTAGCAGTAGGCACTAAGTTCTGAAGAAAACTTAGTATGAAGTATCAGCATACTCTTCTAGTGCATAAATGCTCCTCTTGAATTTCAAAACTCATCTCATTCAGAGACTTTCACAATGGTAACAGGCAGGGGTCATTTCCTGCAGGAGCGCACAGGAGCGGAGCTCTGGCAGTAAAGAGCCCAGGGGGTGGGCACATACAACAAGTCCCACCCCCTGCTCCCAGCAGCCCTCAATCAGAGCAAGAAGCAGCCGGGTAAGTGGCAGAGCCCCCCCATAGGTAGCAATCCAAAACAGTCCAGCGGCACCTTTAAGACCAAGTTTTATTCAGGCACAAGCTCTCCCTCCTCTGCGAGGACAGATCTGCACATTCCCCCCCCCCAAAAAAATAGAGAGCAATCCAAAAGAGTCCAGTGGAGCCTGAGTGGTGGGTGTGGCCTTCTGACACACTTCCGGTGATGTCAGGGGGTGTGACATATGCAAATAAGTTATGCTAATGAGTTATGCAAATGAGCTCCTGCACCTCTTTTTCTACGAAATCACCCCTGCTAACAGGTAAGCCAAAACTTCCAACAAGGTCACATGGATGACTGTCACTATACTGACAGAGAAGCAGCTGATGGCCTGATGGTTATATAGGGTTGATTGGGTGTGGGGGAGAGAACAAGGGGACACCAACATCACATGCACAGTGATGTCCACCAATTCCTAGAGTGATATGACATCACTGGAAGTGATATCATGCTGTGCATGACATAGTTTTTTTAAAAAAATTCTCCACTGCCACATGGAGTAGTGGCAGCCAACAACAACTGCCAATGGGGGTTCTCCTGCCACAGTGGGAGACCTGGCAACCCTATTGTCATTGCAGAAATCATGCTCACTTATTAAGGATACTTCATCTTTTTGCATGGCCAGTGGAGGATGCTTGTCTGTACTTCTAAGGCCCTATTAATCAAAGGACTACTCAGTGGGAAGAGGACTCGTCAGATGAGAAGAAAACATCTCCATGCACAGCAGTAAACTGATTATCTAGCCAATGTTCAACCAATGTGTTACATGGAAAATTATTGACCAAGACTGCACTTAATGTTCGTTTGACCTCGAACTGCCCCATCATCAAGAACCTATTTAGGTAGGTCCACATCCAGGTGAATTCCCATGCATAGCAAAGAATATTATTTGCTTAAATCTAAATGAAAAGCTATCAAAATAACAAAAGGCACATAAAATGAAAACCAACCGACTTTACAAATCTAATTTCAACAGGAGCTACAATTATAA